CGGAGAAGGATGGAAGCTCGATAATTTATGAAGACTGTTGCCAACAGCGTTTAGAGGCACACTCTGAAGAACATTCCAACCGGTCCACAGCAACGTTTACACTACCAAGCATCCAACCTGAAGCCAAATAGGAAGTGGATGCCTGCTCTCGAAATCTCCTCAAAGTGGAGAGGGTTGTATTGATCATGAAACGATGCGAAGCAACAGAACCCGAGATTTTTGACGGGAACCTTTAATTGTGTGTGATTGGAAAACAACCTGAGTAGGTAACAGAAGTGTAAGTTAGTGTATTGGAATCACAGGTATTCCTATGAAACTGGTCTAATTTCCTTATCACTCCTGTCTATAAGAAGGTGGAGAAGTCTTTCTGTGCCAGTTGTATGGTGATCAGCATACCTAAAATTTGTACAGCACCCTGAGATCCATAGTGATACAACGCCTAAGTGGAACTTCAGAACATCAAACTTGGAAGAAGCTGGCAGTTTTCGGACCCGGACAGGTTCCAGAGTGCAAGCATACTTATCAGCGGCCGACACTTACCATACATATGACCTGATCACGGTATTCGGTTCTGTCCACCGTGAGGTGTTGTGGCAGTATCTGGCAGAGAAATAGGGTACCCACCAAGTACACAAAACTAATCGAAGCTCTCCACTCAAACTCACGCGATCTTCTAAGGCCTCAATGAAGAGTTTACACCTAGATTGGAGACAAACAGTGGTGTCTGTCATGGATGCCGAGTAACACTGTTCCTATTCAGCTTCATTACTGAATCACTAATAGACATAATATATAATGTCTTCGACTTCATAGGGATCGATATACTCCCTGGGGGTATCCGATTGACATCGAGAACGCAGACGATATCCTCCTTCTAGGTGAAGATGCCGACAAAATGAAGGGTCTTATGACTATCCTGAGCAGAAATCTGAGCACATTTTCCATGCGTTTTGTAGCTATCGGATTTAAGATGATGCTTTAGAACTCCGTTGCACCTACTCTCAGGTTAAGTATAGTGAGTGAGTCGATGGGATCCATCAAACGGCTTACGTCAACCTGGACAGGTTGATTGCTGGCGAAATCTCAACTTGGATGCAGAAGACATGTTTGGAACTTGCCGGAGTGCATCATCTGTGGTGTCGGAAAGGTGTTCGGCTATCTGTTACAGGAGGAGTTTGTCACGCTGCAGTTCGTTCTGTCGTGTTTTGCGACTGTGAGATGTGGCCCTTAAAAGTAGAAGATACGAAGGTGGTTCAGGTTCTTGACTGTGAGTGTCTTCGTAGCATTTCTCACACATGAATCACCGTGTGAACGATGTCAAGTTTAGTTAAAGAGTCCTACACAAGACAGACAGGTCGATGAATGATGTTGTGAAGCTTAGTCGATTGAGATGGCTTTGAGATGGACTGCGCAAACTGAGCCACCATCTACCTCAACTAATCAAGCTAGGTGAAGTTGGATTAGTTTGGAAGAGGGTTCAGAGTTGTCAGGCCATTGCAAGGCACAAGTCGATGAAGTCCCTGACTGTTGGTATGAGTCGCGTGGGAAGATGTTGACTACCTGGTTGGGGTCCTCGAAACGGAAGGAATCAGTCATTGAAGACTCTTGGTGTAACGACTGCAAATCAGAGACGGTGGGGCAGATATTATTCACTCTAAGACATCTTCCAAAGCTAGAATATCCACAGCATCCCTCATCTTCAAACTTCTTCTTCTCCCATGTACTCTGTCTACTTTGATATCACTCCTTTTCCATCCATTCGCTCTTTTAATACTACTGTGAAATGTATTAACTTCAACTGATACACTTCTCTACATGGCCCCACGTTTAATTCTGTCCATCCTTTTATCTTGTTCAAATAACCCATGGCGCAGAAATAGAATGTTTCAACTGAGAATAACTAGCATGTGGAAGGGGTTGTCGGTATTCATATTATTAGGAACGACCACAATCGAGTAAAAAGAAAGATCGTTTTCGACAATACTATTGGGCCTACAATACAATGCTAGATAGGAGAATAAACGTCTGCGACAAAATGGGATGAGAAAGTGTACTGTGTCAAGGTGTGAATTGTCTGAAAATGATTCACATGTTGACCTGACAGGCGAAGGCATAGTGAGAAGAAAATGAGATGTATGTTGGAAGTGATTTTTTTTTTTTTTTTTTTTTTTTTTTTTTTTTAGAAGATGAACAATGTGAAGACAGACTCAAAATCACAGACTGCAAGTTTTTCTTTCACACAAAGAAACCACACCTAAACTGCTAAATTGTCCATGTTGTCATCTTAGACAACTGCAACACCATGCCTCATAAACCTTTTGGATTCATATTAATAGAAGACCTTAAAATTTAAGTCTGATGAAGCTCGAGGATGGTGACTGACTAGATGATTAAGTAGTGAACGCTTAAGTAACTTGCATTCTGCTGTTGCCAATGCAATAAGAGGGTGCATTGAAATGGGTTTGGAAGGGGCCTGAGTTGTAGTAAGTAGTGAGTTGACTTGAAGTAAAACACTCGAGTGATCTCCAGTGGTGGGTTCTCCTTGACTCATCCGTATACTAACTGTCAATTACAGAAGACAATCCAAAGACGAACAGATAAGAATGTTGTGATCTGAGATCTAGACAGTAACTGTTTCGAATTGTTTTCTACTCCGCTATGCTTTTGGCAGCGTTGATATTGTTACGTGATGACGTGAGAGATGAATATTAACTGAAGGGGTTATGTGTAGGGTTGAATCATCCATAGGAAGTAAGTAGCATAAAACAGGGTTGAAATGTGAATGAATAATACACAAGCAATGCATTAGATTGCATGAACGAGAGATGCATGTGTTTACTCACTCCTAATTATTGAACAGATTCAGTGGAACTGCATCGGAAACTGTTAAGTGTAAACCTAGTACAAGTTATTAGACATAGATTATATTTGCATAAGTCTCAGTGTGTTAGAGATGAGATACTTCCAAAGTTTTACTTGGTGTGAGCTACTTCAGGAAAAATAAGGCGAAATGTCCGAGTTATTCTACTTCACCGGCGTGAAGATACATTAAACACAACCTGTATCCGATGTCCACTTTTCATTCGACCCGCAAATTTGTGATAATATTCATCCAAGTCTTGATCACATACCCCACAAAAGGGTGTGAATATTTATCTAACATGAGAGATAAGTCGAAAAACCTGGTGTTATTACCGAGGTGTAGAAAAAGAATGTGCATACTTTTCTATGAAATGGTGAGACTTCACTTCATGAACAACCAACAAGTCCACTGCTTTTAGATAATGAAATCAAAGATAACATGAAATAGATGAATAAATTCAATGAGAATATAAGAACAATCGTTGTGGTTATTTGGATGTTCAAGGTCGATCGAAAGTTTGAGGATGAAACAGCTAATGTCAAACAACTCACCATAAAACATACTTTCGAATAGGAGTTTACAAGCTTTTCACCACCCTAATTTCGTTCCACTTTATTTGCACAGTTCACGAAAGCCTCTCTGACCAATTCCATTGTTCTTTCACCTACATCATAATGTTCTTCGTTCCGTATCACGATGCAGTTGCATATGCATGAAGGCTACCTTCTCTACCAAACCTTACCAATAACCTGAAAACCTAATGTCAGATTGATAATCTCGAGAAGGATCTTCCTAACAGGATGGAAACGTTAAGGAATAGTACGAAATATTTGCTTATTTTGTCATTTGTTTATGCTTAATTTGACGGGATAACATAAACTGAACATACTTGATATTGATCTCGGTGACTCGCAGAGTAATACAGGACACGCATTCCATCCTATTTGTGACTCGTCAGATGGATGTGCCTGCACCCCAGTGAGTGATGATGTTCCCACTGAGGCTTCAGACCAGCGCTCTTTGCTTCATACACTAGAGGGTTATCCACTGAACCATTGGGACACGACGGCCACCCCTTGTGCAGCAACTACACCTGATACAGTTAATCACAATTAATCAGTACCCACGGTTTTCCAAACCATCCTATCCATTGTCAGTCAGGATGCCTTGAAATCATAAGTATAGCTGCATAATATTTTCCTAATGGCTTCTGTCAGCCTACATCTCAAATTTATGCCATTCGTCTCCCCTCTACACAGTAAAATGATGTGGACACTTCGTTTGGGTACGGTGTAAAGAGCTGTCTTTGGCACTACCTGACTTCTGTATTGGCTTTTAAACTTCAATGGACATCCGTCCTCCATGAGTGTTTTGGTCAGCAACTTGATATCATCATCCATCGTATCTGATGTACAGATATGGTAGATCCCATAAAACAGCCATTTTATTACACCTCGCTTGTGTTGGATAAGACAAAGCTGTGAAAATCGAGATACTGTCTTGCCCATGTAGGCTTTCTGTAGACTGATCATCTTATTGTACCACCAGCTTGTCGACTCAAGAGTACGTCCACGAATGGCAGATTATTATTCTCTTTCTCACGAGCCAGGCTGATTTGAGTTTGCACGGTGTTGAATATTTTTAGTAGACAAAGCAAATCCTCATGCTTCTCACAAATCACTGTGAAGTCATCGACACACCTCTTGTAAAGAGGAACTTTAGCGATGAAATCGACAGTTGGATAGTCAATATGTGGCATACAGATATCAGCCACTAATGGTCTCAAGTGATCCCCGGCAGATACATCGTCAACTTGTCGAAAGCGTTCACTTTCAAATGTGAAAGCAGCTTTGTTGGTTCCCTCAGAAAAGTCGCAGTAGTAAGGAATAGATGGTTTGCAGAAGATATGTAGTCATAGAGAATGTCAATAGTCTTTGACAGCAACACTCTGGTGAATGAAGTGTTTACGTTGAAAGAGTACATGGTCTTGTTTTTGACGTTTGCGTTACTGAGACAGTCAACAAGTTGAAAAGTCTCTTTCAGCAGAAAACTTACAGAGTTTGTTCCAAACTGGACGAAACATTTTGACCAGTTTTGGTGTGCGGGAACGACACATGAAAGATAAGAATCTTTGGTAATGCATATAGCTTCGGAAATTCTGAAATACTGGATAGTACGCAATGTGTCATTTGTTACCATCGCTAATATCATTACTACTACTACTACTACCACTACTACTACTACTACTACTACTACTACTACTACTACTACTACTACTACTACTACTACTACTACTACTACTACTACTACTACTACTACTACTACTACTTATCGACCCACCACTACTTGTTAAGTTACTGTTGATGTAAATGAGTGAACTGGCGTTTCCCTCTTCGTTATATATCCAACAAAGTGTGAAAATGTGTCTTATAGTCTCCAATCACAGTGCAAAGTACTGAAACTGACCAAATTATAATAATAATAATAATGACAGTGGCAGTGAACGTAATGGAAATATAGTTTATGGACAGCACATATTAAATCTGCGTGTTCGTGTGCATTATGAGCAACGTTCAGACCACTTTCTGCATATTCAGTCTCAAATGTTCCCTTTTCTAGACTGCAGTTGTGTTACAATTATGCTGTTTTGTATAAAAACTGTTTTTATTTTGTACTAGTAGTTATGATGTGTTTTTCTCTTTCTAGATATACAGCTAGTTCAATATTCTATAAATGGCTGAAATAGGTGTTCTGGGTTGGCACCATATATTGCATAGTGAATTTTTAATTGTGTTAGGTGGTAGATTTTTGTTTGAGAAAGAAAAGGAGAAAAGTTTACGTTGAATAAAGAAATAGAAAATAGAAAAGTAAGAAAAAATTCACTCACTTGACTCTCACTGTATGAACATTAATCAATCCCTAAATTAGTGGACGGTCATAATAGCGACTGAAATCTGGACAGACAATAAAATCCAAGAGATCAACTCACCTATTAACTTTAAAGTGAACATATTCACAACAAAGATATGCAACAGACATCTCTAGTACTTCATCAAACTGTGAGTATACCTCCTTGATAATGCCGCACATGTTAACGTGGACAGCAGTGAAAACGCATTGTCATTGGTCTGCAGTTCTTTAAATGTTTATTCCTTTGCACCACAATATCAACTTCTGATAGTGTAAATCTATATTGCTGTGAACAATAACACTTGAGTAGATATTCACTTGGATTACATGGAAACTCACAGATCCCCCATATAGTCACTGTGAATTCTTTCAGTCTCCGCAGCTATAAGCATAAGAATTTATGGTCAAACAGACGTTTATCTAGAGTGACCAGGCGTTGCGAAGACGAATCAAGGATGTCGACTGCTTGTAACGGGAATTTGGAATATTTTGCATGAACTTGATGCTACCATTGGTAAAAAAATTAAGTATGACTGAAAGCTATCTAAACTTCAACACTCTTTAAATGCTCAAAAATGGTATTTCTTGTTCATGTCATAACTTGTGGAATGTTGTGAGGTTTTTAGTTGGATTTACTGACAGCCTTCCCATATTATTCAGCTCCCGTAAGACCTTGTACATTTTCCAACATATATCAATGTGCTAATGCCTGTAAACTGACATATTTCATGTCAGAATTTTATGTGAGAATAAAATGTTTATTCATTTGTTAATTTAATAAACAGAACTATTCACCACGCAATAAACGAACGGTAATCTGACAAATATAGCAATGGAAAATGCATAATTAGAGAAGATCATTTGCATCTACTTTCCAGAACTCCGCACCAATTTCAATAACTACATTCACAGCCTGAAGATTGCTTTCTAAAGGCGAAATCAGTACGTCATCAAAACAATCCTCAGTAAGTGCCTTTGAATTCAGTAGAACATAGGTTGTTTCTACATGTTGTAATACCACCTGATTGCTTTGATTTGACTCGCACTTCATTCCTTTGTAGTATCATTTGGGAGGGAGTGACTTCAACGACCACCCTAGAAACAAGTGAAGTAACCAATCAGACTTCTCTGTTTCATGAAAATCTGCCTTTCCAGCTGAAATACAGAAATCCAATTAGTGATTTCGACCTTTGCTAAGGTTGCCTATAAACTTTCACATTTCAAGTGCACATAACTGCTGTTAGCTGAAATTGTTTTTCCATGGATTGATAACACGTAAACTAATTTGATTTTCACTACTAGAAAGTTATTCATTTGAAGGCAAATGCGTTTCTTTCATTCCTGGTGCGTCGAATTTCGCTCATGACTTCTTGACATCTGATATTAGATTTTAGATTTCTACTACGTTGTATTTGTTGATTTTGAGTGAAGGCACTGTCTAATTGATTTGTCGAATTTGTTTCTGAAAATCTCAATTTGTCACAACTTTCAAAAGGATTTTTCTTTATCAAAATTATAAACGAAGAACTTTTAGGAAGGTCCTAACAATAGATCTGTGTTGTGACTGATTAATTTGAATATTCTGCCTTACAGGAATGTTACCTAAAACACTATGAGGATTTATAGACGTTATGACAATGGAACTGGTATACCGTCCAACGGTTACGTACTATTGGTTGACGCAGCCGACACTGGAGCATGCTTAGGTGGAGCAGCCGCTTTCGCATCATCGTGTAGTATGGATCCCGAAACTGATAGGTTTGTCATTACATATATTTGAAATATATTTGTAAATACGAGTGAAATGTTACAAGCAATCACTTCAAGCATACACAGAAGACACATGTGTGATAATTCTCCAGAGCTCAATATATCCATTGATCCTAAGTTAATCGTTGATATCATTTTATTTAAACAGTTTACTAGTGTTACCTTGGTAGTCTTAAACTCGTTTTATTTTTTATCTATCACCAGCCTTCCAGTTGAGTACCGTTGAGATCATAAGTTCAAGTTTAACGATGAACAATTTTCGAATCCGCCATCAACCAAAATTAGCCTCAGATTGTAATTAGTTGACTGTAGATAAGTACTTAACTAGTACGTTGTAACGTAGCGAAATTTCACATTTGGCTATTTTGTCAAGTGGGATTAGTACGAAAAGATGGATTTCCTCACGTCAACTGTCTTCTCAATGCTGCTTCCATTTATCACTTTGCTAAGATTCGTCTTCATATTCATCAGATCATAAAGAATGTAAAGATATTCAAAGTTGGATTAATCATAGCGACGGAGGAGCATGAAAATGATGCTTGCATTAGATAGAGCTTTTCATCATGTACGAGGATAAAGTCTTTATACATCTAGATTCAGTGTGCCAAATCTCTGCACCCCAAATACAAATTTTGGAATACAAGATGGAACTTTGTTTCTTCAAATGCAAAATATTAAGTCCTGATGCTACGAGTATTTCCTTTGCATTTTAGACCAGTTATTGGATACGTCAACTTGTGTCCAAGTAAGATGGATATCACATATCCTGGGGTTAAAAATACACTGGGAATCCTCATTCATGAGATTGGCCATGCCCTCGTAAGTTTCTTTGTTGCTTGAGCTTTGTTTTTCATCACAGCATATCATCAAGATTGTCTCGTTTTTCAATTATGTCGAACCCCCTTCTTGAAAATATTTGCACCCTAGATCAATGTAACATGAATCTTATCAATGCCGACATTCCATAGTACAAGTTCAAATAAAACACATTTTGCAATAGAAATTCTAAACTTCAGATCAACCCGCTTTTTTATTTTCAAAATTCCATCATGTTCAATGCTATTGTATTTTCCTGTTGCAGGGATTTTCGGCTTACAATTTCCCCTTCATGCGTTATCCAAGTGGGAAACCTCGAACTCCCAGAGGTAAAGATAAGATGCCGCTAAAAAAGGACAAGTATGGCTACTACCTCCCAAGGTAATATATTTTAAACTGAGTGGTATCACAGAGGGAAAATTGCATTCACTTATGCATGATATTACTGCACATCATAAAGTGCATTGCAACGGAATGCATACCATTAGTTATATTCTATAAATAACAACGAAGATGCACCTTCTACTGGTTTGTTTATTACAACTTCCAAAATAATATAAAATCAAACGTGTCTCAAAGAGTTGTTAAGACAGAGTGAGGTGATCGTGAATCTAGGTGGAATATTTGAATGCAGTTTCAGTTTATGTTGAAGCCTTACTATTTTTCTCGACCTAGAATAAGGTATATTGGTTTTGTTTTGCGTAATTGGATAACATAATAAAAAGTATATTAGTGTTTATTCACGAATCCCAATATTTTGTTGCTCATGTTGCATTTTGAGTGTGTAATTTATGACACCTCGGTATCCGAAGACATCGAAAGATTATTATTATTTGTCCTTTGGGATCATAGTGGAACATAGGGCTTCAGTAGCACATCGCCATTGCACTCTCTTCTCTCCAGTCTTTTCAACCTGGCTCCAGTACTGTCCAGAAACCTTCATTTCTTCCTCACACCATCTCTCACATGCCACCCTCGGACACTGGACTCGTCGTTTCTCATTTGGCTTCCACTTGAAGGCCAGGACTGACCTGGTGCATGATGACTCCTATCGGTTTTCTCAGTCAGTGTCCAATCAGATCCATCTCCACTTTCTTCTGCATATTTCTGGGTTAATGGGTTCTTGGTTGGTTCGTTGCCAGCCAGCCAGCCAGCCAGCCAGCCAGCCAGCCAGCCAGCCAGCCAGCCAGCCAGCCAGCCAGCCAGCCAGCCAGCCAGCCAGCCAGCCAGCCAGCCAGCCAGCCAGCCAGCCAGCCAGCCAGCCAGCCAGCCAGCCAGCCAGCCAGCCAGCCAGCCAGCCAGCCAGCCAGCCAGCCAGCCAGCCAGCCAGAATGAGTTCCTTATTGCTTACTCTTTCTGGCCTCCTGATCTGAGCTTCAGTGTCAAGCGTGGCCAGTTGTTGATGAATGTCTGTAGTTTGTTGGAAATGCTTTCGTAACGCGTCAAGTCTCTCAACCATCACGTAGAAACACTGACTTGACATTAGTATTAGTGTTGGAAATCCATATCTTGTTCAAGCTTTATGCTGAGTGAAGTGCAGTAGATCTTTACACTGATTTAAGGTTAATGAATGTCTGTCTTGCCGCCTTTCCGATCCTGGCTTCGACATTCTCATCTGTGCCTCCACCTGTAGTTGAAAGGATGCTGCTCTGCCTAGGTAGGTGAATGAGACAACATGCTTTAGATTTCTATCGTTCATGGTGATTGGTGCTTCTTGCTGTTGATGTGATTTGGTGGGTATCTTCATCACCTCTGTCTTCTCTACGTTCACCTGAAGGAAGTCCCATCATCTCTTCCCCACCAGATAGTAACCAGGTTATTTGATATAATGTTGTCAGGACTCCGTCTCTCCTACCT